AATTCAAGACCTGTATACTGAGCCTTTATAGTTAGCATGTTTCATTTTCGCTGAAAACTGGTGAATTACACACGCTGGAAGCGAATACAGATGCAAATTTTCGAACATTAGAAGTATAGAAGTTATTTGACCTTGTTTTCGCAACTTGGTCATATTAGTAGGAAGACTTATAGGAACGCACCTAGTCCGGAGTCCATTGTATGTATGATCATTTCCAGAGTAGGACCATGGACGTGGTACATTTCCAGACGTTTCGCCTGCATCGTCAGTGAGTATCGCCATTCTTAGCACCATATAACAACTCATCAAAAGAGACAGGTAAGCTTATCCTTTACCAAACGTGTGCTAAACAGTTGTGATATCTCCCCTTCTGCCCTAAGCTATTCACATTTCATATATCCTCCTATCGAATCGTCAATGTCACCATTTTTTCTCTTGCTTAATTAAATCTAGTGTGATGTGACCTTTTGAGCGGCTTTCATGAGAACCCTCCGCCCTTCACGCTGTCGTTCTCACCCCCCTTCACCCTTGTGCTGGGAATCTGGATCAGAGTCTGCCATATTGTTACGCGGTCCTCCTTCCCTAGGTCTTATCACAGTCTCTCTCTTGCCCCGTAAGTTCCGTCTGCCCTCTTCCTGGTTCACATATTTCACTCGACCCCTTCCACCCCATCTGTGCCCCTCGAGGCATTATTCGCCCTCCCATGCGTCTAGGTGACTAATTAGAAGCTAAAGCATCTGAGTAAGTCTCATGGTCACGCCTTTGCCACGTGGACCACGTCTCTTACCTAAAACCTACTGTCAGCCCACTAGCTCCAATCGCCGCCGCGTCTATCCTGTTTCTATCTCTAATGCCAAGTCTATGACTTGTCATGCCCTAGTCTGTTGCATGCCAACCCACAAATGTTGTGGTACTGCTTGCTTTGGTTAGGTTCAATGTTGAGCTATTAGGGATAGAAACAGGATAGAAGCATCGGCGATTGGAGCTAGTGGGCTGACAGTAGGTTTTATAAGAGATGTGGTCCATGTGGCAAAGGCGTAACAATGAGACTTACGCAGAGGCTTTAGCATCGAATTAGTCACCCAGACGCAGGGGAGGGCGAATAACGCCTCGACTGGCACAGACGGGGTGGCATGGGTTGAGTGAAATATGTGAATCAGGGAGAGGGCAAACGGATCCTACGGGGCAAAAGAGAGACTGTGATAAGACCTAGGGAAAGAAGACTACGTAACAATATGAGAGACTCTGATCAACATTCCCAGCACAAGGGTGAAGGAGGGTGAGAACGCCAGCGTGAAGTGCGGAGGGTTCTCATGAAAGACACTCAAAAGGTCACAAAACACTAGATTTAATAAAGCAAGAGAAAAAATTGTAAGTGACGGTGTGATAGGATATATGAAATGTGAATAGCCCATGGCAGAAGGGGAAATACCACAACTGTTTACCACACGTTCGGTTGAAGGATAGGCTTACTTGTTTCTTACGAGTTGTATTATGGTGCTACGAATGGCGAGACTGACTGACGATGCAGGCGAAACGTCTGGGAATGTACCACATTCATGGTTCTAATCTGGAAATGATCATGCATACAATGGACTCCGGACTAGGCTAATTCCTCTAAGTCTTTCTACCAATATGACCAAGTTGCGAAAACAAGGTCAAACAACTTATATATAACGAAAGGGAACTGTGACCACACAAAAGACCACATCCTCTTGATCTTCATACCTTCGATTAGAATTATAATTAAATATGAAAGCGATGAATATGTTTAGATCTGAACGCTAATTGAGTTGTTTTGTACATTTTTTCTTCGTATGTGTCTGCTTGATTCATCTTTCAATCGAATATACTCTATTTCAGCATGGAAATTTCTTTATCCTTTCATAGTTATATTGTTGATAAGTTAAGACCCAAAGTCTATGTATAGCGCATCATGAGCACTTTATGCTTACTTTTATTAAGGGGATTTCGGAATTTTTAAACCAGTTTACACTTATTTGAAATTAAAAAGAGCGAAATTCCACTAATTAATATGCATTTAGGTAAGTTTCAGCCTATTATATAGATCATTTATGAACTTATTCGTTAAATAATCTCCTAAACTTAAGGGCTGAAGCAGAATCCACAATCTGGCCGGCTAAGGTTTATAGATGAAGATCTTGCAATTAAATGAGTAGAAGGCCACACGATGTGAGTGAGCTGTACTTAGTCACTCTCACTTACTTTATCACCCAACTCCAACCTCGCCTAGGTCTCACCAACATTCTACTGGGATTTAAAACCGAATCGCGCGTATCAAGTGAAGCGTCAAGACTCCAGTACGCATCAAAAGCTACTAGTGGGTCAAATTGCTTATATAACTTTCGAGACAAACGAACTAAAACTTGTGATAAAACTCCGACGTCAATCCCCCGCAAGCTTACAACTTGCGGTTATACCCTGAGAAAGCAAAAGAGCTAAGCTGATTTACAAGATAACACTTGCCTCTAACAGCTCGTAGTGAAGTTCCGTGATGGCGCGGTGAAGCTGAACGGACTCCCCCTGGTCCTCAATATAAAAGAGAAATTAAAAGATATTTATTAATAAATTAGATTATATTTTGCAGAAATGGCAAAAAAGTATCTTAGTTCTCAGTGGTTCCGAATAAACATAATATTTGCGCTCAATCGAGATGAAAAACCAAGCTTAAGTTAAATATGACAAAATTATATGAAGTAAATAATTGCATTATAATAAGCAGTGAATTCTACCAAGACTCAAAAGGGGTTGAAATGTTAAGCATGACAATTATATAATCTGTACTATACAGGATGGATTCATTAAACAAGCACACTAGATAAGAAAAGGAGTAAGACGTAAAATAGATCACTCCATCATGTTCATTTTCAGGAATTGTTTAGGGTGCATGAGATATCGATCTGAATCTGCTTGCCGTCTAAAGATAAAGTTTGCCAAACGAAAAAGAAGTAACATGGAAATAAGAATACTAAACTCAAATCGAGACTGGCCCCGGCATTAAACTGACTATATAAGTGTAAAAAGGATATTTAAAAAAAGCTATCAGATTGGATAGAAATAAGTTAAAATGTAAAAAGATTGAATTTAAAACGATCAGACTATGTTGCGTTATATTTGAAAAGCAAAACAAAATATTTCTCAAGTTATACTTAAGTCTTCGTAAGGGGATTACTTTGATTCTTTTTTTCTAGCTTCTTTCGATTTGGAGTACGTGCTAGAATTTTTAACAAGATTCGATCGTGCAAATTCTTACTAAGAATAAATACTTTAACGCTATTCAGATAGCTCGAAAATACATCATCCCTTATCGTAATTTAGCCGACCTAACAACATTCAGTATGTTGCTTGCCATTTTGTTTGGATTCTTAAGATATTAGATTTATGCGTAAGATGAAATCGTATATTTCAAAAAGGATACCAAGGATCATTTAGCCTATTTTTGAGAGATTTATCTATTAGTATCAGAAAAAAATAGCTGAAATTCATAAGGCTCGTTCAAGTTTCAGTTCAAGTGATAAAATATCGCGAATTAAAAGACTACCTAAAATGGCTTTTAAAAAGCCAGTGAATAACACTGAAGTCTGGACAGTTAAGCAAAAAATCAACCGTAAATAGTTCATAAGATTCACTAAATGATTTTTGGTGAGAAAAAAACAGGTAAGCCTACTCAGGCGATTTATCAGGCCACTGAGTTGGTTCGAGGCACGTCCACCATGCTAAGCCAATCGGATTAGGCCAACAACTAGCAACCTGATACGCTAATAGCATCGCCTGATCTCCATCCAAGCAAGGAGTTGAACAAAAAGAGCAATGACGCAAGAGCTCTGCCTCCCAGTCGATTTTGAGCCAAGAAGAATAGATTTCGACAGAGGTGATGGTTGAAGATACGGACAACGCACTGCCTGGGACTTGGTTAGAGAGTGCCTGGTCAAGTGGTTCCCCAGATTCAGAAACCTGTAGTCGAGCCTGGCGTAACCAGTTGGTAATCGACTTGACAATCGGAAGTGGGGGCTTACAAATAGGAGCTAGTGCACTTCGTGAGGAAGATAACGGCACGGAGTCGGGGTCTTCTGACTGGACGCCCCTGGCTAGTTGATAGGGCACTTTAAGAATGATTCAAGACAATAAAAAGTAGAGAAAATGTCACGATTCATCAGGTAATTTCATTTTTATAAATGAGGAAACACCAATAGTTAAATAGCGACCAGTACCATGAAGGCTTATTGGCTATCGATGAAGTGAATGTAAGCTCTGCTGCGTAATTAGAATTGCAATGCTCTATTAATCAAAAAGGGTCCTCATCGAAAATTGACCACAATGTACAGTATACATGATTGTTTATGTAAGTGGAAGAAGCTTTCGTCTATATAAAGTAA